TTATTTAAAATTTATATTTAAAAGTTAAAAAAATTAAATCAAAACTATTAAAATTAATATGATTTAATTTGGTGTGTTTTTTTTTTATGATATATAAGTATTCAAGTTTTTTGACTCGACTAATCTTATAATCACTTATAGATTTTCACATCTATAAATATTAAGGATTTTCCCTTTGAAGATGATAGGCATGACCCATTAAAACTATTTGCACCATTTAATTTGATGGTTTATTTGTGTTATAACAAGATTAATTGATAAAACAAGATTAATTGGCTTGTGACCAGCCCTTACAAAAATTTAATTTTTTTAAATGCATGGTTAGGGTGCGCCAATAAATTATCTTAAATGAAAATGAATTAGTCTAAAAAAAAAAATTAGTGTGATGAAGTGTATGCAAGCTAACTCAAAGATATACTCTAAACCATCTAAAAATACAATAACAAATGTTCATTCAGAATGTTCATTCAGAGTAGATACATGATTTGGATTAGAATTACTAGAACTAATATAAGTCATGTATAATTCAATTGTTTATATAAATTATTAAATTGTCATCTAAATTTTATGTTTGAAAAGTTAATTAATTAAGACTACTAAAATTAAACAAAGGGAATTTGATTTAATTTTTTTTTTTATGATACAATATATAAGTGTATATCTAGTTTGCAACATGCCTAATCTTATATATATTCGCAAACTACCTCTCCGTAAATATCAAGTAAGGTTTCCATCTTTAGGAGTAAGACGCTTGATCCATTAAAATTATTTGCACCATTTGATTTGGTGATTTATTTGTGCTCTAACAAGATTAATTGATTGGGACCAGCCCTTACGAAATATTTAATTTTTTTTTAAAGTATGGTCAAGGTGCGTCAATAAATTATCTCAATTGAAAATGAATTAATCTATCATAAAAAATTAGTGTGATGAAGTATATGCAAGTTGACTTGAAGATATGCTTTAATATGTATAAAAATACAATGAAAAATGTTCACTCTAAGTAGATGCATGATTTGGATTAGAATTAGAAGGCATGAACTTGGAGGGATACATGTGAAAGGCGTTGAAAAAACCAAGCATTTTATATATGTTAACATTTAAGTCATCCAACTAGAACTAACATAAATCATGATTGATTTAATTGTTTATATCAATTATAAAATTTTCATCTAAAATTTATATTTGAAAAATCAAAAAGTTAAATTAAAATTTTTAAAATTAAACAAAGAGAGTTTGATTTAATTCGATGTCCCTTTTTTTTATAACATATATAAGTATTCAAGTTCTTGGCTCAACTAATCCTTGTAAACTCTCTTGTACATAAATATTAAGGTTTCTACCTTCTAAGGTGACAAGCGAGATCCATTAAAATTATTTGCACCATTTAATTTGGTGGTTTATTTGTGCTATAATAAGATTAATTGCTTAGGCCAGCCCTTACGAAAATTTAAATTTTTTAAATATATGGTCAGGGTACATCAATAAATTATCTAAATTGAAAATGTATTAGTCTATCACAAAGAATTAGTGTGATGAAGTGTAAGCTAACTTTGAAATATACTCTAAATTGTCTAAAAATACAATAACAAATGTTCATTCTTGAATAGGAGAATTGTTGGTACATTCTTGATTTAATGTATTTTTTGACACTCATCTTATTTTAGTTATTAAAATATAATATAAATATAATCAATTTAATCATTCTTGCATTATATATATGATTACATTTTTAAGTTTATCTATCATTAATTTTAGATAACAAATAATTAGTTTTAATGAATATATTATACAACATATTAAATCAAAATATATATCAACCAACATAAATCTAAGTAGATGCATGATTTGGATTAGGATGAAAAGGCATGAATTTGGAGGAATATATGTGGCATTGATAATCCGAGTATTTTTCTCTTGTTAACATTTTAGTCATCCAACTAGAACTAGTATAAGTCCCCGTCCTCCACAACGGCAATATTAATATTTAAAATTAACAAATTTTCAAAATTAAAAAATGTAAAGGTTGAAAAATGATTTGTGAGCTGAAATGAAAATTAAAGGCTAAAACGTATATAGACCAAAAAATTTCTAGCTATTATTGATAGATGGTATGCAAGATCAATAGTAGAGATTTTTTCAATCTTTAATTTTTGGTCTCCAAAACATTGCTCAATGTGCTTATATTTCAGCTTCACCCAACTAAATTCGTCTCACACTGCCTTACCTGTTACCACTCGCCCAAACACGAGTTCAACCTTTACAATTTGTCTAGCATATAAATAAACGACGTTGGATAAGGATATATTTATTGTATTTTTTATTATCAATTATGTATTAATTTACATAAAAAATAAAAAATTAATATTAAAATTTAAAATCTATAATATATAAATATTTTTTATTAGATAATTTATAAAATTAATATCAATTTTTAATTTTATTATATGTATTAATAATAAAAAAAATAATAAATACATCTTTATCTTATATCTTAAGAATACAAGATAGAAAAACATATAAATAAAATAACTCCATTTTCTTAAGTTGTAATTAAGTTAACACTTGATATCTTAAATTAAAAATTTTAAATTTAAACTATGAGATTAATTGGTAAAAAGGAACATTTTTCCAAAAAGGTTCACTTGTCATGTGTGCATTCATCCTGAAATTTAAAAACATCAACTGTCTTCTCTTACAAATACGAGCAAAATGCCGTGATTAAACATTTGACTTGCAGATGTGAATTCAAAGATTCTCCCCCCTTTTTTTATCATTAGGGTATCGTTGGTTTAATTTTTGTATATCTAAAGAGTAATTTATCCTTGAACAATCTTAAATTAAAGGTCTATCTCATGTCAGTCTCTTATATTAAAAAAAAATCATTTATTTAGATATTAATTTTAAAAATTAAAAATTAAATTTATCTTATAAAACAACATATATTTATTAGTAGATTCTGCTGTAAAACTTGAACCAGTGAGTTCAAAGTATTTAGAAACATATACACAAATATTTTTGTCCTTTCTCATCTTGATTGCTATTATATATTTGTAACGTGCATGAGTATAAAATTAAAAATTAATTTAAAAATATTGCTGCCCCTTGAATTTGCGTCATTCGCAGTGCGCATGATCTTGAACCAGAAAGTTCCTGGGGGAGGCATTTGTTGGAATACAGAGGCCGTTTGGCAACCTACGTAATCAGTTCAGTGATAAGTGAAAGTGAAAAAGTTTTAGCTTTGAGTAACATGACATATGATTGACTATATATGATGATTAAGAGATAAGAAAGAGTTATTTTAATTTTTTTTTTTTGGTTTTTCGTCCGGTATTTGAGACTTCGTTCTGATTAATCCGGATCGATTTGCGTTGCGCACTTGGAAATGATGGGTGAGTCTCCCAACGAAAGCTGTTGCATATACAAGGTCTCGAACTCGAGATCTTATTTAAGTTAGAATAAGTCGCTTACCACTTGATCTAACCCATCGTTCATAAAAAGAGTTATTTTAATTTTTTTTTTTGGTTTTTCGTTCGGTATCTGGGACTTCGTCCTGATTAATTCGAATCGATCTGCGTTGCGCACTTGGAAATGGTGGGTGAGTCTCCCAACGAAAGCTGTTGCATATACAAGGTCTCGAACTCGAGATCTTATTTAAGTTAGAATAAGTCGCTTACCACTTGATCCAACCCCTCGTTCGTAAAAAGATTTATTTTAATTGTATGTATATTAAGATCAATTCTTTTGAATTTTTGAGAAAAAAATTGTTTTTCTCCTTTAAGTTATATTTTAATTATTTTCATCCATTTTTTTATTTTATTTCATACTATTTTAAGTATTCTTCTAGGTTTTGTTTTTTTAATTATTTGGACATTATTTTTTGTGATTAAGAGAAAGAAAAAAAATAAAGACAATATAAAAAATAGGAAAAATTAAGATTAATCAAATGAAAATTATTTGTTATCATCCTTTTACAAATCGCTTGTTCATGGATAGCCTTATACTTTCTCAATCTTGTTCATTAATTCTTCTACTCAATATATATTCATTTTTGCCCTTAAATTAGTGGTGTATATGTCACCGACCACTTTTAATTTATTGTTAAAAACTAACATATATTATAATATCATACATGGGTCTCTAAATAAAAAATTAATCATATAAAATATATTAAAATTATAAATTTATAATATCATGTAATAATATTGTAACAATAACATTTTCCTTTATTGTAAAATTTTCCACCATATGGACTTTCAATAAATGTACGAATACATCATTTCTTGATGAAATTTTCATTTTGTCCTATAATATCCTTGAATAACTGTTAAAAAAAAAAACTATATCTATCTTAAAATAATAATTATTTTTTAATTTTTTTCTAAATTAAAAACTATATTTTTATATTTATATCTAATATCTTTAAAAATATATTTGAAAAATAAAAAAATTATAATTAAATAATAAATTAAAAAATATATAATTTTAAAATAAAAATATTTATTTATTATAATAAAAAATAAAAAATTATTATTATTATTTTGTGAGAGAGTACCCTAAGTTTGACTTGATCTGGAAAATGAAGGGTGCAGTCTGGCCGGCGCCTGGAGTCGACCAACACGTGTCAACCCATTAAACTATATCCCACGAGCTCTAATTTATAAACTTCCCACTTAAAAATAGCAAAAAAATACAATGGTGGGAAACTAAAAAGCAGTGCGGCGTTAAGGTGGTGGACGTGTTGACTCAGCCAGAAAGGCATGAAGAAGGGGGAATATACTTGGTCGAATATTTCTCTTCATTGTGTTGATGGGGAGTCCGTTCGCGTATAAATTGGCATTCCTACTCCCATCCCTTCCCACATTCCTAGCTTCACCATCTACTTCCTCCCCCTTTTAACCCTCATTTACTCTCTTCCGTTCCCATATTGACTATTTAACTCCCCCTCACTTTTTCCTTTCCTCTCTCCGAAGAAAGTGACAGCAATACAGGTCAGTTCAATGAGAAAGTTTCACCTTTTCAGTTTTTTTTTTTCCAACCCCTTTACTGTTGTCGTTTTGCTGGATGAGTTCATGTATGCTTCATGGCTGCCAATGGGATCTAAACTCTGAAATGCATTTTTTGTGAATCACGAAAATGCAAATCTTTACTATTCTACATGGGGTTTCTATTTTAATATCTGGGTTCTTGTCTGCATGTATTATCATTTTCCCTTCATATATATATCTATATAGATTTATTGGGTTTTTCTATTTAGATCTTGATGTTGGTTTTTTCCTTTCCTGGTTAGGATAGTTTTGTAGCTGTTTTCTGGGATTTTGTTGCAGGGAAAAAATTGAGGTGATTGAAACTTGATTTGATGAATCTTACAGCTTTCCAGAAAGTTGGCAAACTGTAAAATGTGATGATATGATCATCAAACACAATTTTCGATTACAGTTTTATATTAATAAATTCATAAAAAAATATATAAGACCATGATTACTTAATTTGTCTGCCATCTTCTTTGAAATTATACTATTTTTGGTTCAATTCTAAATAGCTCGGAAAAGTTTCTTTCTTTCTATTTTTCTGTTCTTTTTCCTGAAAAGGGAAAAAAAGGATGAAACAGTGTTTTGTTAAGGAGATACTCATTTCTATATAGGTTAGATTTGTAATTGATCCTCGTGGTTTGGTACGTAGCCTCATTTGCTCACACTGGTCCCAATTTTTTCTTTTTAATGTTAGTTATACAATATGAAAAACAATTTTTTTTT